GGCTGGCTACAAGTGCTCTGGTGTGGCGAAATCCTTCTGCGAGAGCCCCTTCGCTAGCATTGCCGGCTACTTCCGGCTTTACCCCCTGTCGTTCTTTATTACACGGAAGGAGGAATCACTACGTAAGTCATCTGGATCGGACACTGTCGCCACCGACACGATAACCAAGGACACGACGATCCGCGACCGGGCGCTGATCGGTGGCTCCGTCCGAGACATCCGAAAGGAGTCTGGAATCAGGAAGGTGGACATTGGTGTGACCAGAGAAGGCCTTCTGGGAACCACCCGACTGACTGGCCAGACCAGGGAGTTTGGCGGAGGCCAGAGCACTATTATTGGCGACAGCCTACAGATCAATGTCGGCCGAACGGGGTCAGCCAACTTAACGCAAACCATCGGCATAACGGGTAGAAATACCAGCTCCGTCATCGGCACGAGACTCAGAGTTGATACGGCTTCCGACGGCTCCCAGGAACTGAGAGGGCCCAACGGAGACCGTAGTGTGCTGACCAGAGTCGCGGACGGCACTACTCTCACCGACGGCCGCGACGTCAACAACCGCAGGATCGTCAGCAACATCAACAGGACGAGCGTCTCTGTGCGTGGTGACGCCCAGGGCCCTTCGGGAAGCCTGCTCGGGGACAAGGCCGGAGACATCAGCGGCATCGGCGACATCACACGCAATGTTGACACCACAGTCACTCGCGGCAGAGGCGTCATCAATAATTCGGGAAGCGGCAGACGGGATATCGAGCGACAAGGTCGGGAGACCACGGCTCGTCTTGACCAGACCAGAGGAGGTGCGCAGCTGCGGACGGAGACGGTGGATGTGGGTGGTACCACGTCCCAGTCCTCCAGGTCTGGCGGCCAGGCAGTGATCAACACCGACGCAGTCACCGTCTCCAAAGAAGGCGTCGGCTCCATCACGCAAGAGAAGAACAACACCATCGGTAATCAGGGCAACACGACACAGACGACCGACACTGAGGAGAAGCTCGTCAAGCGTACCCAGAACACCGAGTGCAAGAACTGCGCCAGCTCCGGTACCGAGGTCACGCTCAGCAAGGACCTCAAGGGTCAGCTGGTCGTCGCCAACAGCGAGTTTGACGACACCACGGTGAAAACGTCCACTGCCGCCGGCGGCAAGAGGCTCGACCTGGTGGGCCGCACCCGGACGGAGCTGAACGGCACCATGCTGAACGAGGAGGCAATGGGAGGCTCCACCACCGAGCGCACCTCCAAGGTGGAGGCGGGTTGCGACAAGAAGGTGGGCGGCTGCAATCTGGTAACCCAAAGCTCGGGCACAACGTCTGTCCAGTCGCGCAACACCACTGAAGACAAGGACAACGTCGAGACGAAGACGAGCGTCGTATCGGTGACGAGCTTTGGCTAATTTTGTCGTGTGGAGATGTTGTAGCCAGACGTTGGCTTATGAAAAGGTGAAGAGGCCTTGAAACAGCCACAGTTGCTGTTATTGCTGTCGCTGGTGATGATATGTGAAAAGTTTGAATTGCCGTCTTTGTCCTCGTGCCGATTCCCGACTGGATGGACTGATTTTGCACGAGCTAATCCACAAATCAGTAATGCCTGTCATGAAAGTAAATTTTTTATGAAGTTTGATACAGGGCTAAAAACCATTTTTTAAGTTCGGTAACCATTTTGAAAACCGTTCCATTGCCTTTGACTTTTGGCTGCTCACGTTATGCTAGTATTCACATTTCACACTACAGTGCGAAATTATCCACGTCTCTCGTCTAGGACGCAATAAATGGGTATTAGTTATCATCTTTTAGCATGACGGACTCAAAAAAATCGTAGGTATGCAGCGCTATGCTGTCATTGCGTGACATGAACATATTACCTTATTGACCGGCTACGTCCTAATGAACACCAAGACTCATAACAGGAGCAGTGAAACGGGGGGGGGGGATATCGGCCAACCTCCTATTTTTCGCAAATAACTCACGCCGTAACCATTATATTAACGTCAAAATTTTTAGTACTTGCCTAGAATTGAATTGCGCACCATGCTGTGCAAGCAATAAGTAAATTGGTCCACAACTTTTCTAGTTGCAGGTAACTTAGCCACGAACGCATTTTATTATCCCGTAAGCGTTGTTGAATCAACTGGCAGATCTTGTCACCTTACAAAGATAACAGATATTTGTTTATTTTACACATGAACAACGAGTATGACGAATTACACACACACTCACAATGAATGTTCGATCTCCTACACTGATGCCATTATAACCACACCATCTGACTGACTAAGAAATGATCAGCACACAAAGTTCATTACTCTCGATGGTTATGTATCTCGCACAAAAATGTGCTGCACATTTTGATGTCGCTATGGGTTTATCCCACACATTTGGTAACGCAGCTTCTGTAACATGATAATCGGCGTGATGCGGCGCCGACAAATTCACCACCTTAGGGTCCATGGTTCCCCCGCGCCACATGTGCGCGCCGAGCTGATTATGTACATTTCTGATTCCATGTGCACAGAACATCCTACATTCTATCACACATCGCTTTCCGTTTGTCAGCGTTTAGTGTCATACGCATTGTAATTATCACTTATCACCGTTCACTAGAACGATAAAAGTGAACGAAGGAAGCAGCGTCATGGAACGTTAACACTCTTCAATTTACCCACTGAGTAAATTGAAATTCATTTCACGGTCCGCTGAGTGTCTATAGCCGAGTTTGATATCCATCGAACTTTGGCCACTTATGCCTCGTAAGTCCACCATGGTTCAGAATCTCATCAGCATTCCAACGACAAACAGCAGTACCTACCATTTACACTTTTTCATCAGACCCCATCCGTCACACTTCGTCCATTTTGTCCCGCTTTGGTGCATTGGATGCACCTTTTCCGCCGGGAATCCATCATAAGTTCACGCCCCTGCGATGACTACATTACTCTTCAACATTTCACAATCCTGAAGCATCCTCCCACCGGAGAGCGATTCCATCACACCACACTCTCTTGGTCAGTGTCAGGCCGCACAGTGCGCGTTAGGGAGCTGTACGCGTCCGACGCGCCCCGGCCGCGGCGTAGCGTGGCGTAGAGCACGGCGCCGTCGTGCTGCCGGTCGTACTCGTCGCCGTACCGCTGCGGCCGTTCCCGGGGGTAGGGCTCGCCGCCACGGCAGCGGGGGAGGGTCAACTCGGAAAACGCTGATGTCGAGTGCGGCTGGAAAGTGGAAACCGTTTATAGTAAACAGGGTCAATGGGGTTCGCCAGTATACTAATTGTTGTCCTACATTTTCGCAGCATGTCGTTTTCTTGTTTGACATTTTAACATTATATAACATGCATCAATTCCTGCAAAAAAAGTTATGTAAGTACCTATAGCTAAAAGGCTAACATTTCACATATTTATTAAATCTTTCATTGAATGACAAATTCAGGAAAATTTTGTAACACGGTTCTTTTTACCTGCTCACAGCCGTTTTCAACTGGATAGCCCAACGTGCGGAAAGGAGGTAGAGAAGCATTCATTTCAGCATCTTCGGCACGATAACGCGTCATTCCTGTCATCTCAGAAACGCCGTACTCTGTGGAAATAGTACCAGAGCAAATTTCAAAATCTGCATCGCAAATGCGCTTGGGATGTGGCGGAATACAGAGAAGGGCGTAATGGAGACGTTAACAAGCCAAACGTTTAAGTGTCTTAGAGCTCTTTGTTGTAACAGTGCTACCAGGTCACTTGTGACCCAGATCAGTCAGCCAGGAGTCGAACAATGGACGATGGTTTGGCATCAGCATTGCCGACCAAAAGCTGCGTGGGACGGCTGATCGATGACAGTCGGTGCAAACATTACATGCTCTCATACCTCCCCAGCCTCGCATCGCCCACAGAATATGACAAAACCCAGTTCCAGCGGCACTATCCGACATATTGAATGCACGAGTGTGAAAGTTCAGGGCTCACAGTGACCTCCGAACGTTCAGAGTGTCAAATTGAAATGTCAGACACAGAGTTGGGTGGCTCGGACCGCGTCAGGCGTGCCCATGTAATGCATTATTCGAGGGAAACTGACCAATGACCATCACGGGTGCGAGTCAGGAGTCAATAACTAAATAGAAAACGAGGTTCAGAAGCTCTGCGATGAGCATGATTCGAAGTATCTGCGAGATCTGCAGCGCTACGGCGTGGGTGTACGAAAATTAGTTGATATGCGGCAGGAAGCGTGTGTTCACTTACCATGCTCAGTGGGCACAACATCGGGATTTCTGTCGTCTGTCTCGCACTGATAGGTGTCCAACGGTCGGTAGGAGGCCGCGGCAGAGCCCGCCGCACCCCCCGGTGCCGGGCCCGGCCCTGGCCCCGGCCCGACCTTGACCGGCAGCGCAGAGGTCACCAGGTCAGCCGGGGTCTCCGACTTGCCCGCGGCGTGGCTGCCGGCATGTCACAAACGGGACCTGTTAGGGTCAGACTCTGAGCATGGCGAAGCGCATGCGATCAACAAATAATAAATAAATCAAATGGTCATGCATGTAATACGTCACAGAAACAGGCGTTCGATGTTATAAGCGCGATAAAAAGTATCCAATAATGCTTGTAAAACAAATTGAATACGACTATTTTACATAGATTCAGCCTAGCAGCAATGGTCGTAAAGAAAATATTCCGTAAAAGTGGACCACGGTAAACTATATAAAATACAGAGAAGCATATGATTAAGCAAATTGCAGTCACTTGGAACGGAGTTCAATGCCTGATTTCAACATCGATTTTTCCTTGACCAGATACGCTAAACACATCTCTTGTTTTTATTTTTTACCTAATGCCTACATTCATCAGCTGCTATAGCGATCAGTCACCACCCCTCTCTCCTGTGACCCTGTCACCAGCATGGACCTGCAGTAGCTGAACCCCCACCCCTCTCCTGCACCATTCCTACCTGCTCCGTAGACAGGCCACTACTCCACAGCGATCAGCAGGAGGGAGAGCACGCCTCCGATCAGCACTCCGATCACAGGGGTCATGGACACCTCCTGCAGATGGGTGGAGCCTGAGGGCACACACAAAGGCAACAGGTCAGCGCTGGACAGGGGCGATTGGGGGAGGGGTTCCATAAATATATTCACAGAAACACATGTCCTTCAATTTTCCGCAATTTTTCACCATTGTCTCCACTTTTCACCCATGAACCCCTGTGGTAGTGTTCTTTTTTCTCCCCGAGTCTCTCTCTCCCTCTCCATCTCCCTATCCCTCTACCTCTCCCTCTCCCTCCTCTCTCTCTCTCTCTCTCTCTCCTCCTCTCTCTCTCTCTCTCTCTCCCTCTCCATCTCCCTCTCCCTCTCCCTCTCCCTCTCTCTCTCCCCCCACCCACCAGCGTCGTTGCTGACGCGTTTCTCTGCCGCCTGCAGCGTCAGACCGTCGATGGTAACCGGCTCGCTGCGTCCTCTGTCGTTCTCTGCATAAAGCTCTAGTCGCAGTCGCAGTCCGGCAGGCAGGTGGCGCACCGAGAAATCAGGCTTAGCCTGGGTCAGGTTGCGCAGCAGTCGGCGACCGGCCGCTTCGCGAAGCTCCGCCACGAAGCGCTGTGCCAGTCCGCCGTCGAAGCCGGCCTTGCAGCGGACTGACAGGGACTCGGAGCTCTGGTTGAGCACGAGGCAGTCGTGCAGGGCTCCGGACGGCCTGAGGATAAACCAACGGTCCGGTGAAGGTGCCACGGTGTGTTGTGTGGTAGTGCCAACCATTTGTTTGCATCATTGAAAGACGAGAAACGAAGAACTTGAAAGAAGAGGTCACTTTATGACACAATGCTGCGTCTATGCTAAGCTTTTGATCACAAGAAATACGCCTCTTGAGACCTTCTTGAACCGATAAGAATAAATGAGCCGTAGGCCCGTACTCTTTGAACCATTAGAGCCAACTGCATGAAATGTTGGTCAATTGCATATTTGAGTCAATTGGTTAAAAGATATGTCAGATTCAGAGCAACAACAAAACAATAATTTCTGACGAGACAAGCATTCCAACTCACCGGCGGCGACCACGTTGAACACACGGGCCGCACCATTCGGCCGATGCTGTTAGTAGCCATGCAGATCATCTGGCCATAATCCTGGTCCGCTCGAGGCAAAAACGATATAGTGCTTGCCAAGCCATCAGAGGTGGCCTGAAAGAGATGAGCGCGGGTTTGAAGTGGGGTTGAAATACCATCAGAACATTGAGAGAATAGGTCCGAGTGAGGGACATCATGAACTTTGACAACCAGCAAGTGGATCTTATTGGTTGCCGTCGTAGTAATGACTACTATTAAGTCGTGAACTTATCCTCCCATCAAAGTGCGTGCTTGCTACGACACAGAAAACCCTGTTTACGCCCCGCCCCCAAGTCATCCTTCAGGATTGAAACACATATTGGAATTCGACTACCAGTCAATTGATGGCAAATGCATCCGTCGTCCATAACTGCAATAGGACGATAAATTTACATTTACCCCAGTCTCCCAGTTCGGAGAACTGACGTACCGCTGAGTTGGTGAGGTCCAGCGTCTCCAGCGACGTGTTGAAGCGCCAGGCGAAGGTGACCTGGGGCGGGTCAGCGTCCACCTGACATGTGACCGGGGTCGGCTGGCTGCGGGTCACCCCATAGCGCCGCGGCTGACCCGGCCGACACACGGGCGCGTCTGCAGAGAGGGCAGAGGTTATACAGAGGTCAGAGGTCACACAGGGTACCGACTTTGGAGGGCAGGGCTCATTGGTCAGATGTGAAGGCTCAGACCGCAGACGTCGGATGCAAAACAGATGGTGTAAATTGGCAGTCTGGCTGTGGCAGCATTTTGTGTAATTTTAGTTTTTTAGTTCCTTCTTGATTTGTACTCGGACAGTTGATAGTTCGCTATTGTCATTGCAAGTGTAGTTGGCATCGTGGCGTGTGTGCTTGTGCAATGTGCAGTTTTACTGCTTACATACTCTTTAGAGCGGATGTGCGCCTTGCTGCACGCTTAGGGGGCACATCTCTCCATTACCAAGTCAACGACGGCTCAGCAGATGGGTATGCTGTGCCGCAACACACGGCTGTGTTGCGGTACAGTCTATACAGCAGACGAAGAACTGGATATGGACATTGGACAGGAGTGCGGGCGGATGGCAGCTGCATGATAAGCATTGAAACGATCCGATTTGCTATAGCTCTTGACGCAGTTTTTCGCGCAGGCATCGGTGGTAGACAGTTTCCAGTTCCAGCTATGGTTTTGCTAAGAAAGACGCAACAGCTCGTAAGGTTGTAAGGATTTAGTGAAAATGACTTTTCAAAGTGATGCCACTTCTGTCAGATACAACATTTTAGAGCGATAATATATGGTACCTTGCCAATGCATTTAGGACATTGGTTTGCGAGAGTGTCGACCTGGATGAATTGCAATAGGCATTTGTTTTCAGAATATATCATTTATCTTCATGGGGCCTTCGGATAAAAACAATTCATCGCTTTTACAACCCTTGAAATACTTTATTTTTCACACCCTAGCGCAGCCCCCTGTCCAATCCCGCGCCCCGGGCCGATCTAAAACTCCAACATCTTTCCGGCACTAGTTCCCACCGGCGCCGGCGCTTATTTGCCCATCTATCAGCACCACGGGGAGCCAAATTTAATTTCCACCTTTCGGCACGGAGCGATGTGTTATTAAGTGTGGGCCTCCTCAAAAACGGCCCCAACTGCCGACAAGATAGACTGCCTGCTCGGGGCGTGGGAGCACCGCCAGTGGGGCGGCCTGCGCACCGGACCTGAGCCGGGTCTCTGACAGCAAATCTCGTGTAAGCCCGGCTTCACCGGGGATCAGACAGCTGTTGTTTTAGCCGTGGACGGACTTTGGACGCTAATGTCACAGCAAAGATGGACCGCTGCCGGAAGATGGCCCCGACGCCAGGGATAGATGGTCAGAGCACACAATGATTGAAAAACTTTGACACCTCTTCTAATATACGAAGTAATCTTTATAAGCGTTGAATGGAACACCTGCTTATAGGGGAGAGTGGGGTAAGATGCCCAGGGTGGGAAAGACGCCCCACCCCCTCTAGCGGGGAAACAAAGAATCGAATCTGGAAATTAATGTTCTTAGCGTAAAGCAGAAGCCTGCCTTGTTAACTGCACAAAAATTTGCGAAGCTCAGTTGGGCAACGGCTGGCTGGCGATTGCATGTTTTTTATTTGCTGCTTTCAAAAAATATTTTGGCGTCAAAACATTGTAAATATCAAAAAAGGTAGATAATTTTTGCGTCCCTTGCTATAGTCGTGATACATTAACATGCGTGTACTGTGTCCCAAACAGTTTGTTTCAGGGTGTAGTTTTCTGGCTAACAAATTGTGCTGATTTAATGTTACTTCGGTACCTTGGGGTAAGATGCCCCCTGTGCTGATGGGGAAAGACGCCCCCCTAAATCCGTAGGCTGTCCTTCAAGCAGCCCGTCAAATCATTTATTACATACTTGTGATGAGAGACAAAAGCCGATCTGGGACTATTGAGAGTCCGGTACGGTCGGGTGCTCCCCATGCCGGTCTCTCGGCCCACACAGCGACTTTTTGGGCGGCATCTGACTCTGAGAGCCCTCACGACGGCCTCTGTGGGCCCCATTTTTTGGTTCTAGGGCCCCTCACGACATCCTTTGAGGGCTCCCACGCGTTGGCTCCACGGGCCGCGCTGGCATCTGAGGTCCCCACGATGGGCTCGAGGGCCCTCAAGCATCATGAAGACCTATAAGGGCCCCACAGTGGTCTCCGAACGCCACCACGGATGCTTGTTTGGCCACGCTGGACTATGATGGCCCTAACGATGACCTCTGAAGCCCCTTACGACTACTTTTGAGGGCCCTTACGATGACGTTTGGTGTCTACTGCAGGCTCGAAGGGACTACTGATTCGTTCAGGCGATTCACGTGCCTATTTATGTCACTTTTAGTGCAGGGGGCATCTTACCCAGCGCCAGGGGGCGTCTTTTCCACCCTGTGGAGTAAGATGCCCCCTTTCACTTCTTCAGGAAAATGCTTAATAGCAAAAAAAGTTATCATATTTCAGGCACGGAAGTGTGATATTTTTGGAGAAAAATGATGTCGGCTTCCGTTGAAACTCCAAGTTTTGGCTTTCCGATCGTCATTTTCGAATAATATATGACATAGTCAAACCCTGGGCATCTTTCCCCACTCTCCCCTAAATTCATAAATACTTTAGTCATTCCAACATTCTAACATACTAAAACTTTGCTGCAAACCCACATTTAAGAATCCTCCACTATTTTTAAAGCCATGCGCTGCCAAGGTATAGCAGAAAATAAGCACAACTTTCTTCCCCCCTTCCACCTCCCTCCCCTCCCTTCCCTTCCTCCTTACACCTGGCGCTGAGATGGACCGGCCGGCTGACGCCCTCCCCTCTGCCCTCCCACTCTCTCCCCAGACCCCCTTCCCTTCCTCCTTACACCTGACGCTGAGATGGACCGGCCGACTGACTCCCCTCCCCTCTGCCCTCCCACTCTCTCCCCAGACCCCCTTCCCTTCCTCCTTACACCTGACGCTGAGATGGACCGGCCGACTGACTCCCTCCCCTCTGCCCTCCCACTCTCTCCCCAGACCCCCTTCCCTTCCTCCTTACACCTGACGCTGAGATGGACCGGCCGACTGACACCCTCGCCCTGTACCCTCCCACTCTCTCTCCTCTCTCTCTCTCTCTCCTCTCTCTCTCTCTCCTCTCTCTCTCTCTCTCTCTCTCTCTCTCTCTCTCTCTCTCTCTCTCTCTCTCTCTCTCTCTCTCTCTCTCTCTCCCTCTCTCCCTAGTCCCTCCTTACACCTGACGCTGAGATGGACCGGCCGGCTGACGCCCTCGCCCTCCGGGTTGGAAGCGCTGCAGCTGTAGGGCCCAGAGGCGCGCCGGCTGAGGTTGCGGATCACCAGGCTCCGGTCGCTGATAGTGACCATGTCACTGACCCCCAGCTGGGAGCTCGGCTCCACCGGCATACCCTGCACGGAAAAAAAACACACAGACGTGAGGTAAAACGAGCAATAACCACGTCCATGATAACACGACATAGGGTTTCGAAAGACGAAGAAAAAGAAGAACAGGCAAAAGATGACGAAGTACTTAGAGCAGCTCGTAATAAAGAATGCAGCAGGAAGTATAGGGACAGGGACTTGAGAAGAAACTGCACGGATTGCTTACGCTTATGAATTATCAAGAATCAATCAAATGGCGTGCCATGTGTGTCAATTTATGGCACATAATTGGCGTCAAGTGTTTGATATATTTCCGCACAGCCCAGAATATCTGTCCAACGACAGCCGCTGTAAAATTGAAATAAAAAATGCCTCACGTCGTTCTTTCAGCGCATGGAATGCCTATCGACGCCAAACTTCCGTCTCTCTTTTCGGTTAATTTCATAATCGCATCTCTGCCTCTGACAATGACCAGCGCTCCCACGCAATCGAGCGGCATGCCTTCTCTCCTGAGTGGCTGTCATGTCTGCGGTCCCTTTGTGGGCGCGCCTCTGACCGGAGTCCAGCGGAGGATGAACGGTCTATCGAGCGGCCGACCTCTCGACCGGTGGCCTGGGCACGTGGGCCGGCCTCCGGCGGCGACGATCGGCCATAGCAGCCACCGGGGCAGGTGGCGGCTACCGCGACGGGCTAGTATAGTTGCATTACATATATCAAGACCGAAACTGAGCAAACATTCGTGCGGCTTGTCAGTTGGGAGAATGAACTATTAGATGCAAGTGATTACAACTGTTCAGTTTGTATTCCGTTTGTATTCCTCTTGGCACGTATTTATTTCATTGTAGGTACCTATGCAAAACTTAGCACACATTCATCAGCTGTTAACTAAAGAAGAACTTAACAAAATACTTGGAATTCCGACACCAAGCGAACAACTTCTAAGGGACTCCGATGCATATCCCGCAGGCAATAAACCACGGACAGGACCGGCCAGCCCCCGGCGCGGCGGCAGCGGGCAGGAGCGACGAGCACATGACAAATGGAGGGTCCGGAGAGCAATCAGTGGCTTATAATTCTTCTTTGTCAGACCGGAGCCCCGGCGGGCGACATTCAAACACCGGCCGGTGGCTGCAGCAGTGATTCATTGCGGCAAACTGCGCCTCCGACCGCAGATTGACCTCAGGTGACAAGGGTGGACTGACCTCAGGTGACGCTGGACTGGCTGCGGGAGACGTTAGGTGACCTCAGGTCAGTGTGGACTGACCTCAGGTGACTGTATAAGACTGACCGTGGACTGGCTGCAAACTGGCCATAGATAAGCTGACTGGAGAACACGGTGTTTGCCAAAGTTAGAGAAGTACGACGTTCGCAGTCGGCTATGATTTTACCATGAAAGAATCAGTTTAGTAATTTACCAGTACTGTGAGGCGGCTGCTGACCAGGTGTACATAGAATAGAACGACACTAATCTTGAGATACATGAACACACATATTTACTCAGTACGGCAAAACTGTAGTCCAGCCAAAGACAAATTCTGAGTGGCCAACAGATAACGAGCTCAGATCGACCGCAGAGCATCGCATTCGCCACCGCCACCAAGTCTGTCGTGTGATTAGCACAGCCTCGGGCCCGCTAACTCCGATTGTCACCGTCGCGCCGCGCTCCAAATGAGCGCCCTGTCACCCCGGCTGATGCATTTGTGGCGCAGCAGTGACAAATGACCACACTCGCATCCGAAGATCATAAAGCAACGCAGCCGGCAGCTGGGGCGAGGAAAGCGGCTTCGGTTGAACTGACTGTAGTGGGTAGCGACTCGCGCTATGCAGGCTGTCGATACAGCTAACGATAACATATACGTCGATAACATATACGTCGATAACAGTTACGTAGCTTGGAGGCGGAGGGCGCATTATGCTTTGAAGCAGCTTGTCATATTTAGGCTCCGAGCTGTTAAAATTTCGCTGATAAGATGACAGAGCTTGTATCGGAAACGTGTTGTCAATGTTAGAAACAATCAACAGCAATCCGCAATGCATGGCTGAAACAGTTTTCCTACCTTATGATTCCATTTGACGCTGTAAATTTTGGGATTTGCTTGTATTTCACAATCAAAGTAAGCATCAGCTCCTTCTTGTATTTTATTCGGGTCCAAGGCGTTTCCCAAGCGAAGGTTGACTTGTGGAGCATCTGCGGGAAAAAGGAGCATTCGTCACTCTTTGCTACCCAAGGGAGATGCCTGACGTATTTAATAAAACAATTGTGCATGAACAGGTGCACCATTATTTTCAAACGCTGCAGAAACATGCTACTTGTGGATGTTTAACATGAATTAGACAAGGTCCTTGATAAGATATTGCGGGCATTTCGGTGTTACTCAATAAATATTCTCACTTCAGCAACAGGCAACATATAATTCGAAGCTCAGAAAATCTACCAAGCCCTCCCACTACTGCAGGAGCAGCACCATCTCACATCGGACGTTGAGAGTCCTCCTGTCCTCGATGATGCCGTTGGAGACGAGGTCGTTCTCGGCTCGACAGACGAGCGGCAGGCCGTGCTGAGAGGCGCTGGGTCGGAACGATACGGAGCTGCTGCTGACGTTACCTCGGCTCACCGCCTGGCCGGGAAGAGAACAACGGAGGTGACACGCTCGAAAGGGGGGAGGTGGACGGTGAGCGTGATCAGCTGGAATGTGACTGGCAAGGGGAGTAGGTGCCCTCAGAAAGAAGTGAACGGTGATTGTGGTTTTAGCAAAATGGACGGCGAATGGATGCGGATTGCACAATCTGAAGGATATCGGGAGGACGAAGATGACTCTCACTAGTTGAAGGGAACGATATAAAAAAGGCAGATTGGGGAGAATGACATTCTATGAAAATACACCTAACAGATACGCATGGATAACGCTTCATTACACCCTTGATTACAAGACATATCTATGGTGGTGTTCTTTATGTGTTGAGAACCATATCACAAATATTGAGCTGGCAAAAAAACGTTTAGACTTCCGGTTTCTACCTTCTTGTAGGAAGCGGAGGACGGCGTTGTTTGTATGGCTAGACCGCTGCAGCGGTCTGTAGTGAGAACGAAATCCCATACCGCTTTACGAGGAAAAAATAACAATAGATCAAGAAAACGTTCACAACACCACTGCGAGGTTTTAGCGATGTGAGTGATATCACATTGGAATTACAGTAGTCAGATTACCTTATCGCTTCCAACCAGCCAGCACAGCGTTGCAACGCGAGAATTATCAGGACTTCTCAATCTCCAAATCACCAGACTCACAAGGGGCGAGACGTAAGCCATTGAATTATTGTCATATATCAGGCTAGGCTGAGCGATAACGGTAAGTGATGGTGCCTATCGCCCTGAATGCACGCCAACTGCTGATGGAACAGCCGGTTTCGTTTATTTTGCCGCCTTCCAGATGACAAATGAAAGTGGCTAAACGATGCGACATTTTTCCTTCCCCCGCCACTGTCGCCGAGAGAGCCCGGCCGTTCTGTTTCGTATTCTCAGGTGAGACGAGCCAAACCATCGCTATGCAGGGCAGAGAGCTGACAAAATGTGCTTCTTTCAACCATGTATGGAGGTGAAAACAGCATCAGGGTGCACACAAAAGGGTCACGTATGCTTGAGACTGTCAGCATGTTTAGCTGTGTAATTACATTGGTTTATAAGCAACTGCCTGAAAAGCTGCAGCTGTTCGAAACTGGAATGGTCTTGGAGCTATCCCTCATATTCATAATTATTCGCCACTGCACTGGTTTAGAAGCTGGATAAACTAAAAACTCTTACCATAAAAAGCGCAGTTATAGTTTAAGAGCAAAACCTGATGAGTTAAGGTGAACAGTAGACGATGGACAGTCGGGTCTCCGACCGCGTCAGGTCAGGTCACGGTCAGGTCACTAACCGCGTGTTTGTGTCCGGTGAGGCGTCTGCTCCCGATCCACCAGGTGATATTGGCAGGGGGCCGCGAGCCGTAAGTACGACACAGGAGGTCGTACGACTGCTCCGATGACATGGAGTTCAGCGAGGAGCCCAGCATCTCCACACTCAGTGGTCGAACTGGAACGAGGAACAGCTGTCGTCACCGCGGTCATCTTCATAAGAGGAGTTTAACACTGAGTTCCCCGCTGCCTAATCTTACTAAATTACGGACAAGATAACACACCGTATCAGTGTATTGTTAATGAATGACATATCGGTTGGATGTAAGTCGACCTAAATAAATAAAAAGATCGCAACAATAAAAGGCAGTCCAGTTGTTCCCAGACCACATTACATAGATGTTCTCCATGCTTTTTTTTAGAGAAACAGCAGCAATACTTTCATCACGAGGCTGCGATGGTGGTATCTGTTATTCTGAGCACACAATATCCGGACGGACATTCACTAAGCTCGATTGTCATAGATGCTGAACGGATTGCCAGTCTATTATTATTTCTCCATCTCTTTCTCCGCCCTGCGACCGTCATTTTCCTGAGCACCGGGAGCTGATCCGGACAATTACCCAGAGAGCAGTGCGCCGTATCGCTGTGCGCCGCGTGACGCGCCATGAACCCATCCCGGCGGTCCCAGGCCGCACGGACGGCCGCCCGGGCCCCGTGCGCCGCCCCCGCGCCGGATGGCGTGCCGACACCCTGTATTAGCGCGGCGCCGGCTGACATATGCGGCGCGGCGCCGGCCATTACGGTGCACGGCAGCCGATGGCGCGGCGGCGGCGGCGGCGGCGTGGCGGCGGCGATAGGCGGCGCGGCCCATCACTGCGGATCGGTCACCGGTATTGCGGCGGCCGCGCCGGATTGTCGGCCGCTATGAAGATGAATACTGGGGGCGCTGCGAGAGGCCTTTTTGCGGTACCACGATCACTGAGATGGATATTAGTGGACGGGATGGGGTGCTCAGGGAGGAGATGGTGTGGAAAAACGCAGAGAACGGGCCCTACACCTAGGCTCCAGCGCGTTACGTGCACCACCTCTTTTGCTCATGTTTATTTGTTACTATTTTTGTACTTATTTAGTACTTATTTATTATATTTATTTTAGTACTTATTTAGTACTTATTTACTACTGCACGTCATAAAAGCAGCTTGACATGTTAACCCGCGCACCGACGGGGGGGGGCGGATATCCGCCCCCCCCTGAGGTTTTTCGCGGATAGCGGGAAAACCGCGGCGCGTAGCGCCGCGAAATTTGGTATGACTATTCTCTCATCAATTTTACACATGGTGTGCAAGTTTGAACCTCCTAACTTTTAAGGTCAGGTCACCAGGTCACTTTGAATGACCCAACCTCAAGTCACTTTTTTGCAACTTTGTCACCGTGCCAGAGCTACAGTAGATGTCGGAGGCCTTTGAAAGTCGCAGGATGTTATTAGGTCATTAGTAGCTACAATTTGTATATCTCCGAATTTTGATGTCGGTGACCTAAGGTCAGGTCAATTTCGCGACCTCCCCATTATAAGTCAATGGGCGAAAAATCAACTCCCTGTTTTTACCACTAAAACGGGTCAGAATGGCCCCATATACCATATATGACTTCACATACGATCAACCCTCACTACCTTGAGGTCTGTTTTGCTGTTGGGCAGCTGTAAGGTCATGTGACGTCATCAAAGGTCACCAAAGGTTTTTTGCCAATAACTCCTTACAGGAACAAGATACAGCCACGCGGATGGTCTCATTGTGTTCAGCTCGTCAAGACGCATCGAATGATATACATGATGACCTCGAGGTCACGTGACCTGAGGTCAACCTTTGACCTTGACCTTTCGAGGTCAACATATATATCATTCGATGCAGATTGACGAGAGGATCACGATGATGCCCTTAGTTTGTTCCTATCTTGACTACTTCGAAAGTTATTCGAGAAAAACCCTCTCCATATCTCGCGCCGCCATTTTGACTTTTTCGACCCCTGTGACGTCATCTTTGACCTGACCTGAAAATGACCTTAGTAAAAATTGTAGACCTTGTCCGTGCGTATCCGATGCCGTTTACCGCTTGTCGCTATCTTGCTTCGTTCTCGAGATCTCAGGGGGGGGGGGGCGGTCATCCGCCCCCCCCCCCCGTCGGTACTAAGTTGGCGCAGACCCCCGTCGGTGCGCGGGTTAAATATATCTGTAATAGAGAAAATCGAGCCACTGTAGCACTGTTCCTTGTCTTCTAAAAACTCGGCAGCCTTTTGCGCTTAACCCTGACCTAAAACTGTAGTATTGAATTGCAAATAGACTCGTCAAGTCGCTAATTAACTGCAAGTGACGCGTAGTATCACCACTTTTATTACCACCTCGTACAAACGATCCGGATCAAAACCAGCTCAAGCGTCACGATCCGTTTGTAACTGTCAGGCACATGCTTCTGGTATTTTCGACTCGCATATGGCCCTCCATGCAGCTTGAGGTGTCTGCTGCGCTTATCGGGTCATTTGGAAACGCTTGGATAGTCAGATATTCTCCGTTGATTTCAGACAGTCCTGATGGGCTGGGGTTACCAGGCAGGAGAGCCATGGGTACGTGACGCCGCTTATGGTTCTCAAAAGCAAAATAGTGATTCTATACTTACCCTCAACACCATTTACTGATAAACATATGTGGGTGTTCATGATGATTATACTCACAGTAAATGTCGAGCTCCACATCTGATGTCGCCGGCTTGCTGGCGTTGGTGTTCGAAGCAATGCATGTAAGACGAGCGTGTAGGTTGTCGCGGATCAGCGGTGGCAGGTGTAACTCACAGTACACTCGACCGTCGCTAGATGGCACTGCTGATGCGTTGACCTCTCGGCCGTCCCACATCCAGGCCAACCGAGGAGTCGGGGTTCCTGAGGATAGGATATACGCCTCTGAATCGTCATGACTTGTGATAAATTCGCAGTTATAGAGCAGCAGCTATCATTTGTCTTTCCTAATCTAAGCATTTTCGTACCAATCATTGAAACATTTGCACAAGATCAGTAGAGCATTTCAAGTAAGTCCCTGTCGCCCCGCCGCGGCCACCCCCGCACGTTGTTACCACGGCACCACTCCGTTCACCACAGTGCGTGAATCTCTCTGCGGAGCGCGGCCGGCGGCGCGTTGCCATGCATGAGCAGCCCGGCTGTGAAGCTGGCCACTCCATCAGGGCTGGTCACGGCGGTGCGTGACGCCCCTGCTAAACTGAGCCGCCGTCGTCCTACGGTGACCGCGTGACCCCACCGCCGCAAACGACGAACGTCGCCTCCCGTCGGCGGCGACAGCGCCGCGGCGTGACCGGACGACGGCGGAGACGCGCGCGGCGAACGGCGCTGCATTGTTAACGCGGCCGGAAAGTGTGGGTGGGACTTTGCGCAGGTGTGACCGCGTACAGGGAGAGAGAGGGTGTGACGCCTCGATGGAACAAGTGATAACGTTGTTTTATTTTCCTGATGGGGTGATATGCCAATTTTGTGTTATTCGTGACGTTCGTGACATTCATTTACCACTGAAGTAACGATAATTTCTGGATATATCGCACAACATGTCAGAAGGAACATACCCGTGATATTTTTATTCTCGCCCACATTTCTATGAAGTGCTCTTACAAGCATTTAGTTTGTTACATAACTACCTTCTTCAAACCGGCCGGAGAAGTTTTCAGATGCGTAGTTCGCATACAAATTCGTCATTCTGTACAGCACCATATCTCGCTCAACCCCTCCTTTCTGAATTGGACAATGGACATACCTCCGTCTGACTGGCATGTGAGGTGCAGCGGTGCGCCCTCCTCCAGGGGTCCGATTCTGCCAATCACCTGACGGCCACGGTGCAGAATCTCCGGCGGGTTCGGTGGTACTGGAACGCAGGGAGAGATAGAGAGAGAGAGAGAGAAAGAGAGAGAGAGAGAGAGAGAGAGAGAGAGAGAGAGAGAGAGAGAGAGAGAGAGAGAGAGAGAGAGAGAGAGAGAGATGAGAAAGAAATATAGGAATAGCGTCATGCTTCTTGCATTGTGTTCCGTGGTGCTGTTTTCAAGCGAAACATCATTTCAAATATTTGTTTGTACTCAAGGAAATTTTGTTGTGAAACGCATTTCACATTGTGAACAAATAAACTGCAACATATTTTTCAGTATTTTTGTTTCCTTCTGTATTTAAAATTTTGATGTGGACATATGGGGCTGTCGTGAATTCAGGCGTCGCAAAGTTTTGCAGGACACATTACGTCCACCAACAAGGTCATTGGTGTAATTTATGTTGGAACTTGCGCAATGTGGAGTCAATAAATTCGAATTTAACGCCACAAGACTAGGAAACAGCGTATCCAAATGAGGCGAGCTCGCCTATTATGGCACATTGTAGTTGTTAACACTCAACCGGCGTCTGAGGGACGGGAAACTTTACAAAATTAAACGTCAGCGTAGATTTACGCGACACCTCGACGACCGACCGTGAACCTTCCGGTGTCATGGCGGCGCGCAGCCTGCTGGGTCTCCAGCTACTAAACACATGAGAGTGGCTAATAAACACGTGAGAACGGATAATAAATACATCAGAGTGGATAACAAACACATGCGCTGGAACATATCACCTTCCGCCTTTCTCCCAAAAGTCGTTGTTTCAGATACACTGTAAACATTTACTGTCATCTTTTTTTCTAGATATTGAGATGTTGCACTGACGAATGACGTCAAGAAGACTATTTCCCACCATACTCTGCTCTGTATCACAAACCACACATACCTCTGCACACGACTTACTGATGACGGTGAGATTGACGCGCTGGTTTCGCGTGGGGCTCGATCGGAAATCCACCCGACACCGGTAGAGCGCCTCGTCGGCCGCCGTCACAGCGTGTAGCCGCAGCGCAGGGGGGTCACGGTTGGTCACAAACTGAGCTCGTCCTCCACGAAACCGATCCTGCTCCACTGAGCCCTCGGAGAATGAGCGCTCGCCTCGCGCGTCAAAACTGCCGGTGTAGACGGGTAGGGGTGGGGTTGAGTGCCGTGATATAAGCGGGGTCGTTTGAGGCGGGCCGTAACAGCGATGTGGGTGGGTTAGGGAGGGTGGTAGTGGTGTGGGCGTAGAGAAAATGAGCCTCGGAAGTTGGCTGCGGTAGATAATGTGGGAGCGATGATGGCCAGCAATGAGCTCTGATATGAAGGAGGCGAGGTGGGAGGCGATGAGGTCCATAATCGGTTAATTCATGTAATTTAGCAGTCGAGCTGTCCGTTAGAAACAAAGGAGTCAAGGTACTGCGCACAAAAAGCTTACTTAGGGAGGAGTAAGAAAGTATTTGTGTAAAACTTTACAAAATGACGTTTTTAACTTTATGCTGCTAAAAACTATAGATCACTTCACAAAGTTTTTCAGCACTATTTTACACTGTTCTGTTTTTACCCAAAATCGTCTACTGATCATTCCCAATCCTGTCTCACTTGTACAGTGGCGTGCCGTCGTCGTCCTTATACCAGAGCACGAGCACAGCCTGGTCGCCGGCGCTGATGGTGCTCGTGTCGCACGGCAGGTCCACGCTGTGGCCAGCCACTCCCTCCACCTCGATCACAAAGCCTGCCGACACAAAGGGCCGCGACACCTCAGACAGTTGTAACACTATTTATTGAACACCTAAATCATACGCCATTTGGTGTTCAGCACCCAAACCACCCTGCCACGGCGTCGGCTGCTGGGCGGCGAAAAATAGAAATATTTAACACATTTATACAGATTGACGACGGTTCCCTAAAAAGTATCATACTAAATATCTGGAAAGGTTATTGATAAAGTCAACGCGTTGTGCGCTGCGCCACTTCTATCAGCAGAAGGTCAGTTGTTTCACTGTCCTGTTCATAGATGGCAGTAGTGGTTAGCGCCTGAACGTTATGCTGTACCGCAAGACACGCGGCTATCGCAGCATTCCGGAGGTCGGCTGAAGAAGCGACGGCATCGCTTGTCAGAGCATGTAAGCTGGTTGAGTGAACCTTCAGAAATGCAGGGCAAATTATGAAGTGAGCTTCTATTGCCATTTTAACACGTGTTACGTAGAAATCAGCCCTTTCATAGCAATTTACACTATCTCTGTCACGCACACTAGACCTTTGGATATATTCCAAATGTACCGCAACCAGCACAATCCAGCACATGTTCCAGTAGAAATGCCGCGACCTACCAACAGAAGTCATTCTCTGGTCGTTTGCTCCCGCTGCCAGCGACGGCAGAAAAGTGTTCTCCCGTACAATTGCCGCCGGTCGCATGGGATGTGGAAAGGTCCGCGGGGGCGGGAAAATAAATGGCTCCAACTGTCGATCGGAATGACCCCGGTCCCTCGGGACAGACTGCTGACTGGCGGAGGGGGGAGACCTGCTGTCGCATTCTCCAGCCCTCTGCCGTGAATCAGATGTTGAAGGTATAGAGGAATACCGATATCCCTACATCCAGATTTCAAATAATATATAACGTGCAAGAAAAATGATTTTACTTGACATAAACGATTGGCAACTGATCATTTGATCCCCTTAGAAGATTTAGAAATCAGCATGCCTTATTATTTCGTAATTCGATTTCGTTGCATATCCGGATGAATACAGTGGTGCTCTTGGTCCAATTTATTGACAAAGCAAAATACATATAATCCAAAAACTCTACCATAGTCAATTTTGATGCACGATATCAGGTCCCCTAATTCTGCGACACACGTGGAAGCACAGTCATATGGTCGCCCAATCGTTCCCCGTTGTCCAGTTGATCTTGCCGAGCAGAGGTCAAATGATGACCGTAGGTGATCGGGTACACTGTCTCAATAGCAGAGTCTACCGGCTGAATTGGACCCGGGAGGCTCAAACCGGCCCACCGAGGGCGCTCTAGTTGAGAGTAGCAATGCAGCACACGTTGCGTAATTTCAGACAGCTGTATTGAAGTAGAAGTTGCGAGAGCTCTCAAATATTCACGAGAAACTATGAGCTACGAGAAAGCAGGGCTGCTTAGAAATAATCCAATGCTGCTATTTTTCTTTTGGAAAGAAATCTACTATATCCAACGATAGAAATCGGAATGCATCAACATTTTGTTAGACAGAAAATGTCTCTGATAAAATATTAGAAACGAAAGCACAGTCCTTTAAATGAAAAAGAAACGTTTTTGTTTTAACGCGAACTATAAAATATCAAAAATAAAGCAAACATAACCGGTTCAAGCGCCTACCACTATACCAGGGTGATTTGAACGGTCGCGTTACGCCGAAAAATTCCACGGCGCACAGTCGACTGACGGGCATTGGCTGTCGGGTGTCGGACCAATAGACGGTTACCGAGCACCGGAAGACCTCCAGGCGTGGACAGTCGACGACGTCTCCTAACGGCAGGGATGCCGCCCGCCCGCCGAAATTGCCGACAGCACGAGAGGTCGGTGCGTCGAAAGCGGCGATAGGAGTCGACGGAAAGTCGTGCTGTCGGGTAAGTGACAGTTCATGGCGAATGCCGCATTCGGTTACAGCTAGCTGGCATGCCGGTATACATTTGAAAAGGAAAGCAATTGATCCTTTTTCACTCTCGATGAATATAGAATGTGTCAAAGGCCAATGTATGTTTTATAAAGTGTTTGTGAGCATTTGGTAATGGGCTTATATTAGACCCAAATATGATAAAAGTTGAAGTATTTACGGAACCAAGTGGAAAATAGTCAAGCTATTACAATATCCATAAGGCACAAATTGTATGCCTTGTCCTCCACTCACCTCTCTTCAGAATTTTCAGCCGCTTACCATTTATGGCATATGACAGCACGAGCTTACTCGCGCTCTCTCCAGCGCGGCCCTTGAGCCGACACTAAACTCTTGTTCGCGGCGTCGGCGAAAATTGGCTTTCTTTACGACGGACCTGTTTTGCCGTAAGGGGTGGACGACCGACAGTTGAGCAAGAGGCATCGCGGAGAGGGAAGGGGGAAGGAGCCGCCGCTCGGCGGCCCGTAGCGGAGGGGTTGGCGAGAGGGAGTGTAGGGCGTTATCGATGATGGGTTCTTCGTTCGAGCAGAAACACTCAGCTGGTAGGCCGATGGTCGCCTAAACCGTCCACTGACCAGGGGCGTCATTCACGACACGATAAAAAATCCTGGTCAAGAAAATTGGTTCGAGCGAGAATGGCAATATGTACGGAAACTGCGCACAGGATTTAGCTGCTCCTAGACAGCAAATAATTTCACGTGGTAACATGTAAAACATGTCTTTAGTTTCACCTTTTGTGGAAAAATATGTGTTCGGATACACTGACAAGCATTTCGACGAGCCAGCCCGCTCACTCGAATCAAACCATTCGACATAGATGGAACCTCAGTTTCCGGCCATTTTCAAAGTTATTAAGTCGTAATATTTCCGTATGAGTCACGATTCCTTGTCCGGTGCGCGCCACTCTGATACGATCGCCATTCCAATGAGGCTCGTCCGACACCCGCCGCAGAGGAAATTATTAATGTAAATTCTTGCCAGACCGGCGGGCTGCGGCCACTCCGCGGACCACAGTGGACTAGCGATGGTAGGGAGTAGTGTTGGAAGAATGGCGGATCCGGCCGAACCTGCGTGGGTTAGGGAACAGACCCCGCTGTTCCCTAACTGAAAAAAGGCTGTCCGAAAGCTGGAGGGGGTTTCATAGCATGGCTCGTGATGAACACATGGTCCATGATTCTGAAAAGTATGACCATTGCTTGACGGTTACAGGACCGGCAGAAACAAAGAATCATATGATGAGACAAAGGTTGGTTTGTTTGGAGTGGGCTGTGTAAGCGTCTTCAGTATATAGTGCCGTTCAACTTATCCAAAGTATCAAAAAGTAGAACTTCAAAACTTCACCACTGCAGCTAAGCATGTAAATCTCTTTGGAATATTTGTCACTGAAATGAAGCTCCCAGAGAAGCAACTTCCAGTGACAAATAGACTGATAATCTAAATCTGACAGGCGAAGACCACTGCTAATCCGCCGGAAGGCACTAATTCTGCGCTTCAATCAAGCTTCCGTTGAGGACTATTGTTGGGCGGTTAGATCAAGATGCAACAGCCCCTAAGGCGATGATGAATGACCGCGTGACACATTGCTTAATTACCTAACTAGTATGATCAAACGAGGTAAGGATGTAATAGATGTCGTAGCGGAAAACGATTTGAAGTAGATTCATGAAGTTCAGCTGCATAATACAGCGTAATATGCATATTGCATGCGAGTATAGGTACTGCATAGTTACGGGCACACACGCCAAAAATCCAGAAATGCATTCATAATTAGGCATAATACACGCGCAGTTTCTTCACGCATAACATGCTCCATTTCACCAACCCTCTGTCTCGAATAGAGCTTCCGTTTGGCAGGGTCGATTCCTCACTCTCGCTCTTTCACTGGGCCTGCGGAAACCTAAGAAAGCCGGCGGGCGGGGCGGACGCCACAATAGCCATAGTTCGCGATTACTCGAGACAGCGGGGTAATGCGTCGAGGCAGGAGTTGGCTGTGCTCGGGTGGTGCTCCGAGGGAGGGGGGAGGGCAGAGGTCGATAAAATGCTTGGAGTTGCTCCAACGAACATCTTAGTCCCATCACTGTCTCCAACTTAGCCCTCGCCTGGCGGGAGGGGGGATGCAGCCTCCCTAAGTTTTTTTTTTCGCGAATAGCGTAAAAGGTGGTGTCGCGTAGCGCCGCAAAATTTGGCACAACGTCTGGGAATGAGCCTTTTGCCACATATCCTGAAAATTTCAGGTGTCAGTCATTTCAGGACAGGACACCAGCTGTCACAAAAACCGGTACAAATCGGTACAATGTCAGGTTAAACAACATATTGAGCGGAAACCGAATGAAGAGCTTTTCGACGTGAGTGCCGTGGAACGTAGCGCTACCAAATATCAGACACAATTTGAAGCATTCATTTGACACGTGTCCTGGGAGCACTGAGCTCCGGTGACCTCAGGTCAAATCCCAAGGTAAACAACCGGTACATTGTCAAAATGCCTGCGAAAAACACTATTTCTTTCCATAAAATCTAGAGTTGTTCATCGATGTATTCCAACTTTCAGGATATGCTAAGCTCACCGCATACCATCACATGCATCCCGTTTTTTCCGATTCGGTTGACCTGAGGTCATCTAGAGGTCATGACGAAGTCTAAATAAATTTTCCCGAATGGCTCCAACTGTGAAAACTTGAGAGACATATGCTCGATTTCAACGTTTGTGTGTTGTGATACCTTAGTATTCATCAAGTTGGTGTTTGCATGCTGCAAGAACACTAAATCGGGTCAACTGAGGTCGACTGAGGTCAAACTACGGTTTTACTAATGACTTGGCACACCATGGCTAGAGCATTACGCTAGGCTAGAAATGATGTCATTGCATTCCTTGTGATCCGCCGAGTCGAATGATTTGCGATATGAAAAAAGTAATTAGGGAAAATCGTTTACCCTCTTTTAGAAAAATATTCATTTATAGGTACCAGCCCCCCACAAAAAAAAATCCCCTAAAGTATTGGCCTAAAGTCACCAACGTTGCACAAGGACGAGATTCACTATGGGCCCACCTACCCTGTGAATTTGGTGTCTTACC